ACTCAAGGCACCGCCCCCCGGCTTCACGAGGAGGTGTATGCTTACACCGGTACTGCTCAACTTCTCACCATTGCCGGGGTCGACGTGAAAAAGGCTTTTGACGGCGTCCTCCATCAACCGATCCTTGACAAGCTCATTCATACCCAGCCTGGTGTCCGTATGATACGGTACATCAGCGACTTCCTCACCGACCGGACCATCCGCATCATGGGACCGGATGGCAAACCGTCCGAAGCCTACCCAGTTCGTCGAGGCACTCCCCAGGGCTCTACCCTGTCCCCGTCGCTCTTCAACCTGGCTATGAAGGACCTGCCCCCCCCCCCCCCCCCTCTTCTGAACGAAATCCCCTTCCTACAACGTGCCTTTTATGCCGATGACGTCACGCTCTGGTGCGTCGCTTGAGCGTCAAGCATGTGAAATATATACGAGCACCGACCAACTACCTATAGGAACCGTGCGGATCTAATTCAAGCCCCGACCAGGGCGCCCCTAGCGGCAAACGGGTCCGTTGCATCGGGCATCTTCTGCCAGTCGCTGCGTTGGTTGTGCGTTGTAGTGGGTTAGCGCTGTAATTTCTGAGATGGCTATTCCGCACCAAGAAAGCCGCAACAATTGCTGCGTGGTCGGCAACATCGCGCACGGCACGAAGTACTACATCGCCCCTCGAAGCCGTACGAGGCGGAGTACTGCGCGACCTGGGTACGACTTGTGCGTCCATACAGGTTAGTGGTGTTTCTTACCTTCCAGTTCGCGCTTTGTTTAAGCTGCTGACGAATAATAAAATTAACTTTTTTTCTCTTCTAGCGACGATGGAACAGCGTCGCCACCGACGGCAAACTCTAAAGTATGCAGCAAATACTTCACCGGAATCGAGAAGCGGAATGCGGTCGCCCTCCTAAGCCTACCGTTGGATGCTTCCATCAGCCTACAGGAAGATAGTAAAGAGAATCGCGGAACGGCGCGAAAAAAAATCGCCCATTTATTGTCAAGCTGATTTAGAAATAAACGTACATAATTACCGCAGTCCATTCAACGCCAACAAAAAATTTTTGCGGGCGCGCTTAATTTTGCTAGAGGAGTACGGCGCTCCCTGACATCCACTTGTCCGTCGAAACGGACCTCCTTCACATCACACACGCGGCCAGATTCATGAAACAGTTTTCTCTTCGTCATATTGGCATCACGGAAGAAGCTTTCTGGATTCGCAACCGCCTTAAGCCCCGCCGTAATCACCCCAGGAACATTGTCCTCTGTGCTGCTAATCGCCACTGCTTCCCCCCGATGATTCTGCACCGGCTACCGAAGAAGCTTTCCGGATTCTTAGTCGCCCACTGTCCTCTGTGCTGTTCGTTGCTATTACTTCGCGATGATTCTGAGCCGGCGGCACCGGCTTCCGAAGGAACTTTCCGAACTCGTAACTGCCTTAAATTTCGTCGCAATCACGACGGGGACACTGTCCGCCGTGCTGTTCGTCACCATTACTGCCCGGTGCTCCTGCGGCGGCTACCGCCAGGTCGCGGCGAACAGTAGGCGACCGCCGCGACACGGCCGGCTTGCTCGCTTCCCATAGTCCGTTGCAACCTAAGAACGAAGGGCGAGGGTAAGACGGGCCCGGGAGGAGGAAGCAGGCGGAACGCTGGAGAAGAGAGGGGGAAACGTCCTTCTCTCTTTAGCGTTCTGTCTGCTTCCTCCTCCCCGGCCCGTCTTACCCTCGCCCTTCGTTCTTAGGTTACAACGGACTATAGTATCATGTTTATAGTACAATCCCGCTGAACAAATAAATATGCAACATGGCTCACTGTTACAAGAAAGTGAGGCCTTTGTTGATATTGAAACAATATTCAGTGATCCAGCTTGTTTATACAAAGTTCCTTTTGCAGGTGGTTGATGACGTTTAAACAATTTTGCTATCTACGGCATATTAGGCATTCCTAGAAGTAATGTTTGCTTGATGATCGTCTAATTGGGCTGTTATTAGAAAAAGCAACCATAAACATATAAACGTCTTGCGTGTTCCTCCATGTCACCGTAAATTTTCTGTGTGAAATGTTGGAGATGAAACTGACACCTGACCCTCATAGTAAAAAGTTATATCGCGTTGCAGCTTGTTCAGTCAGAAGATCAGAGATAGGGTTTGTTTAATTACAGCTGTTTATGGCTACGGTTCCGTGGATTTTTCATGTGCGCCAACAAAAACTCGCCCGCCCTCTCTTTGCCGTCATTCCGAGCGCTTGCGTGCTTAGTTTCTTTCCGCTCTCCCCAGGTGGCGGTCCCGTCGCGCGTGTCTAGTTTTCCCCGGCTCCTCGGGGCGGAGATAGTTCGTAACTTCGTTCAAAATTCTCTGTCCCGTTTGTGTCGTGTGCTTAACAGCTTCGCTGGTAATCCACCTTCACAGAGTGCAACGGCTCATGATTTTGTTTTTATAAAATAAAACAGCAGGTATTTTTACTGCAATGTGCACAACTAAGTGAGAAAGAATTGCGCGTAAAATTTGATGTGCAATGGACCGATCTCACCAGCCAGTTTGACTACGCCACCGCTGCCGCAATGCATCGGGGGAACTTTAGTCTTTGGGCACGTGTGAAAACCTCGCTGGAGGTCTGAGCGTGTAGAGCACGGGACGGAACAAGGCATCTCGTGCATTACCGTCTGTCTCCAGTGAACTAAAGTTATGGCGGCGTCACGCATGCGCCGAACGCTTAGTGAGATCGGTCTATTATGCATTAAAACTCAGACAGCTGTCCGAATGAAGTATCGTGCTGCCAATCTAAAAAAAAGAAAGATTTGTCAGTTGCAGGGAGATTAAAAAAAGAAAAAAAAAGAAGTACATCGTATAGAGAACTAAGGTCAAACACATACATAAAAAGTTGTGTCTGCGAATTCAGTTTTGTTTTAATTTAAGTAAGGCCCACAATGCTTGACCAACTTTTGGTATTTTCTTTTGTGATTATTCTCTCCTTTAATTCCTTTTTTTTTTTTTGCAGGGAAGGAACAAATCTTATTTTGAGAATTTCGGCTGGGAAACATCAAAAGCGAAAAAGAGCTGTACACGAAAACAGCACATAAATCCAGAATTTCAAAAATAATTTCTTCGAACCAAGTGTGATCTCAAGAATTGATTGTGTAGAATGGTTCATAATCTGTTGATATTCCCATATTCATATTCATATAAATAATTCATATTTCCATGACTTGTAGCTTGTAGCCGTTTATACTTTATGTTAGATATATGTTTTTATTGTTTCAATTTTTGAGTAAAAGAGGACTGTCAGCCGCTATAAGCTTTTATCTTGATTATGCTTTCATATGTTTTCACTTTTGTGTGTTGTTTTGACACTATTTTTAGCGGCTAATTGATAACGTTGCTGTATTGGTTGATGGAACTGCTTATCCGTTTCCTTTATGGTTATAATATATTTTTGTTTTTGAGCAAAGTACAAAACGGATGGCGCCTCGTCAGGTAAAATTTGTTCGCATTTGCCCAATCCCCGTGACTCAAAAATCGCGAATAAAAATTATTATTATTCTTACTCTCAATGCAAGGTGGCACACTGAGGGCAGCAGAACCCTAGACTACGTCTGAACACAATTAAACCAACTAGCTATTCTTTTTATGTCTCTACATACAGATAAATAGGAAAGACCGAGAATTGACGTACCTTCGAAAGTGACATTGAGGAGGTACTTCTTGTAGAGCAGCCCCCCATCAAGGTCCCTCATGGCGCTGCAATAAAGTTCCCCCCTAGGCTCGCATAGATGCTCCCAGACCTTGTGCAATGCGTGCGCCATCGCATACACGGCGTCCAACACGAACTGCACCTTGGTTTCCTGCAGGTAGCCCACGGACTCGTCCAAGCGGAGGTTTTTAGAGCACGTGGGCAGCGAGCTGTTGCGCACGTCACCGTCGTCACGCACACTGCACTGGAACACGTCCTCCCAGAACTCCTTGAACCAGGGGTTCCGACGGTTTGTTTCTACAGTCAGGTTTTTCATATACTCGTCAAAGTCCGGTATGAACCGGGACTCCAGCTCTATCGTGATGGCGCCCTCGGCGACCTCCTCCAGGCCCTCGACGAGCTTCTCTTGCTTGCCCCAGCCGTCGCTGGCCACCCACACGAAGTCCTCGCTGCGGTTGGCCCGCTTGGCCGCCGCGAGGACACCCCGGGAGTCCTCGGCCCGCGTGAAGAGGATCACGCCGCGGGCGTTGCTCTTCTGCATAAGGTTCTGGTAGATCTGGTCGAAGGTGTCCACGGTGGCTGAGTGAGGCACCTTCTCGTTGACGGCAATGCAGATGTTCCTCGCGCGCGCTTCCTTTTGGAAGGCCGTCATGCCGGAGTCACCGTACTGGCCCTCGGAGGTGACGAGGGACACGTAGGACCAGTTGAAGCGCTGCACCACGTCCACCATGGCGAGCGCCTGGAAGGTGTCCGGCGGCACCGTCCTGGCGAAGAAGTCGTAGCGGGTCTTGTCGCTGAGCGAGGTGCCCGTCGACGCCGGGCTGATCTGGGGGATGCGGAAGAGGCGCAGCAGGTTCGCCACCTGCAGGGACACCTCGCTGTACGAGCCGCCGACCACCCCGCTGATGGCCTTGCTGCTGAAGCGCAGCTTGGGCACCGCGCCATCCGAACACTCGAAGGCGTTCGCGTCCACTGTGTTGATCGAGGCCCTGATAAACTCGAGCGACTGGTTGAGGGCGTAGCTGTCGCTCGCGCAGGTGTCCAGTATGGTGGCGCCCAGTTTGATGCCGTTGAGCAGCGTCGGGTCCTGGTTAATGCGGTCGATGGCAAACAGCATCGCCTCCAGCCTCTGGATACCGCGGTCCTTGTTGATCTTGCCACAGCGGGTGCGCTCGCCCTTCTCGTGGATGGGGAACAGGCCTCCCAACACGATGTCGCCCGGCACGTGCGCCTTCATGGCCAGGCCCCCGAGCCACAGCAACGACGACACCAGCACCGGGCTCAGCATGTCGCCCAAGGCCCGCCGAGCCCGCCGCCAGCAACCTGCGTCATTGTGGGAATAAAGGCCGCGTCACGAGGGCCACACACCTACCTTAGCTCTACAACTAATCTCTCTTTCAGTTCTTTCCCGGTTTTTATTTCATATTATGGCCTGCTCGAAATTGCGCAAGCGGTGGATGGATTTGCTTCCCGTCATCGCTATGGCTAATTTCTTTTTATAGTTAGCACACCACCCTTGGAATGAATAGAGAGCCAGTTAGCATTATGATATTATTCACTACTGATTGAATGAGTTTCGTATTCTTATTCGTATGCGCCGAGAAACCGAGAGAGAGAGAGAGGAGAAGACAAGAGCCCGTGGGGACTGCATACAACGCCGATCTCTGATTGGAACGATTAGTGGGTAGACCTAAAACTAGCTGCCTTTGTCTCCACTGCACTCGTCGAACGCGTTAGAACGCGGAATGCCGGCATTCGGCCGTTTAGCTTTCGCATTCGCACGCGTTCGACGAGAGCAGTGGAGACTAAGGCTGCCTCTGCCTCCACTACTCTCGTCAAACGCGTTAGAACGCAGAACGCTGGCGTCTGGCGTTTAGCCCTCGCATTCAAACGCGTTCGACGAGTGACGTGGAGTCAAAGGTCTCTGTCTAGCTTTACGTCTACCCACTAATCGTTCCAACCAGAGCTCGGCGTTCTGACGTTCCCGCGAGCTCATGCCCCGCCCCCCCCCCCCCCCTATCCTTCCCTCTCTCTCTCTCTCTCGTTCTCTCTGTCTTTTTCCGTTTCTGGGCGCATACCTTTATTTAGGATGCCTATTAACTACTTCAATAATATTTGTTTTTAAATCGTATTATATCTTTTAGTTTCGTGCTTGTGTCTGTTTAAAAAAAATTGACCCGAAATAGACCGATCTCACTAAAGGCCGGTTCTCACATGCAGCGAAGCGCTGATGTAGCGCTCCTCACGTGCCGTCAGCTACTTATCGTCTGCCATGAGCAACAGTTTTGACGGTGCGATACAAAGCTGGTGAACGCTCCCATCAGCACGCGCTTAGCGCGAGGTCATCGCTATGCTTGTAGCGCTCCGCTGCATGTGGGAACAGGCCTTAAAGGGCAACTCCACCGATTTTTTCATTGTCTCCGATTTGCTTGAAATTTTGCTAAACTAACCAACAAACATCGCGAAAATAGTATCCCAAATATTAGGTCAAAATATTGTTTTTTCGCGAAGTTATTGAATTTACAGTTTTGGTCCTCACCGTGTGTTTCAAGCTCGAAGTCTCTACTGGCAACAATGAAAAAGTGACGTCAGTGGAAGGCAGGGGTTCACTCTTTGGGCTGTAGATTTTGTTTTAAACTGATTCGAAGCAGTTTCATAGTGTCAAATGAATGCTTGGGAAGCTCGCTGCAGTACCCGCGCTCCAGCACGGAACAAATGATTGGCATATTCTATTTCTTGGCTGCTTGCTCGACTGGCAAGCCTGCCTGCCACTGACGTCACGGCCCTGAAAAGCGCGCGTATATTTGAATGTTGGTTTTTGCATCATTTTCATTTGCCGATTTCGCAATAACTATTATGAATTTCGCGATTCTAAATAGCATACCGGAGAGAGTAAAGGCCGGGGAGTCAAAAAATATAGTTAGTTGAGGTAGCTCAAAAAATCGGTGGAGTACCCCTTTAAGCGTTCGGCGCATGTATGGCGCCGCCATAACTTTAGTACACAACAGGCAGGCGGCAGTGCCCGAGGCGGCTCGTGCCGTCTTTTGCTCTTCACGCGCAGAGTTTCAGCGGGGTTCGGGCACGTGCAGAAAGACTAAAGTTCCCTTCGATGCATTGCGCCAGTGGTGCCTCGGTGTAACTGGCTGGTGAGATCGGTCTATATATGCAAGGAATACAATAACCTGCACTATACTATCGAGTGTAAGAGCGCAGGCGACAGCTGGAGTCAAAGGACTCAATCAAACAGTTCCAAAAGGCACCGCCACTGGGTTTGTTGCTTTTTCGTATAGTTTCGCCGGCGAGACCAATCCAATGGAGAGAATGATTTGTGACTTCGCACTTTTAGTCTTTACGTGTTATTTTTTTCACTACGCTCTAACTTAAGCCGAAACAAAAGATTGTTTTCTTTTATATATAAACGAATATAAAACTAACTCTTTTTATTATTAAACCAATACAAAACAGAAAACATGCATTCGTAACCACATACATAAAAAAGAAGAACACAAAACATTTGTGGCGAAATTAATCAGTCGATTTGGAGCATCTCCAAATCGCTCCCCTCTTGTGCTTTAGCGCAGTAATGTATAGTTCGCACCTTGCACGCGCATGGATCTAAACAGGAATGCTCAGAGAACGCTTCAAGTATAGAAGAAACTTTTATCACAACAGAGAAGTTCGTCGAGCAAAAAATTTGTTCCTTATTGCAATCCTTTTCTGCTCTCCTTCCTCGCGGCCGATATTTCTCCACTTAACTTTTTACCCCAATTTTAAGTAACAAAAAGTGATTGCATCAGTTACACCAGGTTACCTTGCAGAATGCACTCCAGCAAAGGAGCGAACGAGGCAGCCAGGTTAAAAGTAAAACGGCTCTTACTATTTGCGGCTTCTTTCATACAAAAGAGATGCGAAGTAACTCGCGCACAAAAGAATACGAATGTTGCTTTCACACGTGAATCCAGACACCCAGGGTGTCTTTTTTTAAAAATCTCGCTGCATACAGAAGAGTTGCACCAGTTGTAGCAGCTGTCAAACGATTTCGAACTCAACGGATCCCTAGAAAACCCAGTAACAGTCGAAAAGAGATAGAAAACAAAAGAAGCCGTAGTATTGGAAACACAACGCGAAACCGTAACAGGAATCAGTGCTCCTGCGTTTTTTTGTGTTTATTTTCTCGCTGCTTGTCTTTGCTGCGTGGCGTCGTTTCCACCACTGGTGTCGCGCAGAGCTGTGACCCATCCCGTGTTCTGGAAAGGGCTGCTATGGGCTGCCGGTTGACTTGCTAATGCCGCCCGGTGTCGACGAGTGACTCTCGGAGCTGCGTGCACCGGGGTTCGGACGAGCCGTCCTCGTATATGCGCATCTCCTAAGAGCCCGGTCCCGTGTGTTAGCCCACGTCTCGACGGGAACAAGGAACGACGGTCGACGCTATGGAAATGCGTGGCGCGCTGCATTCGACGTCCTTATCTGCGAAGTTGGCTCCGACTTGATGCGGTGGTGCGTTCGGCAGCCTTTCTACGAGTCAGAAGGCTCTTCATCGTCAGCGTCCCATAAAAAGAAAGAAAGGTTCTGGATGTATTATAGTCACTAATAGAATGAGAACGACAGGACATCTCTTTTAGATGCCCGGCTTCCAGCAGGTGCTCGTGACCTTGTGTCGTGCTTTGGCTGCAAGTGCACAATCGGGGTTGACGAAACGGTGAAGGGTTGTGGAATGTATCAAAAGCTCGTGCTGGAGGCGGTAGGAAGTATTAGTATATCTTTTTCAAAGACCCGCAACCGCTATACGGGAGCGCGCTTCACAGCACGCATCGAAGTGCCTGCGCGAGCTCCCGCTACAAATAGCGTGGACTGAAAACACGATGCACTAAAGCTCTCTAATGACTATAGCTTTAGTCGGCGACGCGTGCGAATGAATTTACTTTTGAGATATCTTTTGCGGTGCTAAGACGATTCCTGGCCATGTAAAAAATCCGCGCAGTATGAGCATTAAGATCGCTTGCTACTTACGGCGTGTAATAGAGAGTGTTAGTACTATATAAAGATCGTTTTTTACTTTCGGCTCCGCTCTGAGGCTGTCAAACTGCGCATGCATGGCCCGCTACGCCGGAATATGGAGAGCGGAGTTTCAGAAATGCGTTTTAGTAGACCGTTTTTCTTCAGCGTTAGAGCATTTCGAGCAACCTTACTTGATCAAAGTCGGTTGACAAGCTCATTAGAAAGCCCGGCGCCTTTGCTTGGCGCGCGCGCTCGGTGACGCTCGCTACACTATATCAGCCCGCCCTATGGGCAGAAGCGGAAGAACCGGTGAAACGTTTGATGCACATTACCTGCGGTGGGAATGAATTGTTAATGCGAAACCATTAACTGTCCCATGGAGCGAATCGGCGTTATCAGCTTTGGAAGCCGCGCCAAACGGTCCCTAAATTCCCCTGTCCCATGTATACCGAAGCCTGTAGTCTGTAGCAGCCGCCCCATTGGCTGGCACGCGGCGTTATTTTTTGTGGTTCTTATGGTGAACAAAATTTGAGTAAAAGTCGGCGCACGGGCTTGTTACCTTCCGTCGTGCTTTTGGGGCGCATGTGCCGAAGTGTTATCAAAGGCAGCAAACTCGCGCTGAAAGAGGAGCAAATACTGTATTCTTAACATATCACCGAGTATAGCACGGCCTTGTTACCTTCCGTCGTGCTTTGGGGGCGCATGTGCCGAAGTGTTATCAAAGGCAGCAAACTCGCGCTGAAAGAGGAGCAAATACTGTATTCTTAACATATCACCGAGTATAGCACGGCCTTGTTACCTTCCGTCGTGCTTTTGGGGCGCATGTGCCGAAGTGTTATCAAAGGGAGCAAACCCGCGCTGAAAGAGGAGCAAAGACTGTATTCTTAACATATCACCGAGTATAGTTCATTTGGCTTCAACATTCGGCCTTTCATTCACCGCATCTTAAAAACGAGCGAATAAGTCTGCCTTATTTTTTTTACCGTCGTCGGCTACGTCGTCAGCCCCTGCGTTATAAAGGAGGCACGCTCAGCTCGGAAACACACAGCAGCAATGGCAGCACCGCTGCACTGAGACCTAAACAACACCTCTCGCTGTTTCAGCTTGGTTATTCCTCACGTTACATATAAGTCGTTTTTTCAGCTATTGCAATCTACTGCTGCTGCTTTTGTTACTACTACTACTACTGCTGTTGCTATTGTTTTTTGTTTCTTTTCTGTGCTGGATGTGTTTTTTATGATTTTAAATAAAAAAATGCCCCATGATACAAATGATGAAGGTATCTGTCTGGCATGTAGCAAAGAACTGTTCAAAAGTGAATTACA